CTCGTAAATAGATACCACGTTGTCACGGCCGGTCATTGCGTTGCCAGGTGTAGAGAGTACCTGAAATATCGATTTGAAAAATTATTATCAACCCATAAAAACGATAATAAATTTAAAAAAAAATTTTTTCAGAGCTTCTGCCAGACAAGTTCAAGTTACCTTAGGGGATTACGTAATAAATTCAGCAATCGAACCTCTTCCGGCTTATACATTTGGAGTTCGGGAAATTCGAGTTCATCCATATTTTAAATTTACTCCCCAAGTAAATATATATTTTTTTTAAAATTTATTTTATGTAAAAGTAAAAAATTAATAAATAAATTATTAATTAAACGTTATTCAGGCCGATAGATTCGATGTGGCGGTTCTTAGGCTTGACAGACCCGTACAATACATGCCACACATAGCCCCGATATGTCTCCCGGAGAAAAACGAAGACTTTTTAGGACAATACGGTTGGGCAGCCGGTTGGGGAGCGTTACAAGCAGGTACGATAAAATTTTATTATTTTTTTTTTTTTTTACATTTAAAAAAATTTTTTTTTTTAATAAAAAATATTTTTCAGGATCGAGACTTCGTCCGAAAACACTTCAAGCAGTAGACGTTCCCGTTATCGATAACAGACAATGTGAAAAATGGCATAAAAGCAATGGGATCAACGTTGTTATCTACGATGAAATGATGTGTGCCGGATATAGAAACGGTGGTAAAGATTCTTGTCAGGTATCGTCGGAGTCCCTAGTTAAACCTTTTTAATGGAAAAAAAAAATTTGTTTTTAATGTTTTGATGTTTTTTTTTTTTTTTTTTTAGGGAGACTCTGGAGGGCCTTTAATGATGGAAAAAGCAAATCGATGGTATTTAATTGGTATTGTTAGCGCCGGATATTCTTGCGCACAAAGAGGTCAACCGGGAATTTATCATAGAGTTGCTCATACCGTTGATTGGATTTCTTATATTATTAATTCCTGATAAGACCAAACGACCTCTTTTTTTTTTTTATCATGAACATTTTCTTCCCGTCGTCCGTAACAAACGTTTTTTTTATATATACGTATATCTATATACAAAAAAAAAATTTTATATTTACATTTGACGCAAAGACGACAAAAAAAAATGTGTCAGATATTATTATCATCATTTATATAACATCTTGTTATAATAATAATTATACAAAAAAAGAACATTCTGGAAATTTTTAAAAAGAAAAAAAGAAAGAAAATCGATCAGTTCAACTAGTCAATTTATATAAACAACTAATTTAAAAAAAATTTTACGTTTTGATTGATCAATTGGCAAAAAAAAATTCATTTTTTTTTTTTTATGGGGAGGGAGGGAGGGAGGGAGGAAGAGGGATATTTAAACGTCTTCTAATTTTTGACTAAATTTATACCACGTGACAAAATACTAACCAACAAAATAATTAATCAGGGGTAATAAAAAAAAATTTTTATTTAATTTTTCATGATAAAATTTTTTTTTTGTGCCTTTTAGGTGAATTTTATCATTATTATCATTATCATTATCATTATTATTATTTATTTTATTTTATTTTCTTTACATTTATTTTATTAATTTAAAAATTTTTTTTTTTTTCGCTTTCAAATTTGCTTTTGAAAAAAAAAAAAGAAAAAGAAAAAAAACTTTTTTTCCTTTTATTTATATTGCATATTTAAAATAAAATTGTATAAATCTAGGAAACCGCCATTTTGTTTTTTTACGTGCTTTGAATTGTTATTATTATTATTATTTACTTTTTTCCGATCTCATTTGATGACCTCCATAAAAAAAAAAAAAAATTCGTTTTTCTTTTACACACTTTTTCTTTTTTTTTTTTATCCAGTAAAACTTGAAATTTTTTATTGCTGTTGTTATTCTTGTTAATCCTTGAAATTTCTGTTATGTTTTTATGTTTATGTTTATGTTTTTAAATACTTCTAACTAAAAAAAAATAAAAATTATTAAGTAATAATATTTAACTTAATGGTAAAGAGAGAAAGAGAGAGAGAGCGCGAGAGGAAGAGAGAAAGAAAATATATTTAAAAAAAAAAACAAATCTATGTTATTTATGTTTTTAAAAATATAACTTTTTTTTTTAATTATTTATTTATTTTTTAAATAACTTATTAACGATAAAAAATAAATAATACATAACCCGTGCCTACAATAGTCAATTATTATTATTATTATTATTATTATTATTATTTCCGCTTCCGATTTCAAAATGGGAAAACAATAAAAACAAAAAAAAACTTTTCACGATTTTAAATAAATTTTTATTTATTTATTTATTAACTCTAATATGAAATATATAATTAAAATAATAATAATAATAATAATAATAATGATGACGATAATAATAATAATAATAATGTTATCCGGTCAGTGTTCTCATTAACCGAAAAAAAAAAAAAAACTTTAAAATTTCCTTCATTTTTTTATTTTATTTAACTCTTCACCGTTATTTCCCTTATTCGTCATCGTACTTTGTCGTCTGCTTTTCCCCTCCCCTCCCCGTTTCGATAATAGAAAACGATAGAAAAACTAATTTTTTTTCTCTCTCTCTGACGTCACAATTTCACGCGTATGTTCAAAAAAAATAAATAAATAAAAATTCGTTTAATTATTATTTATATTTAAGAAAAAAAAAAAATTTCATCCGTTATTCGTGAAAAAAAAAACAAAACAAACAAACAAACAAACGAACGAAACAAACGATGAAATTTTTAATATTTGTTCTAAATAAATAATAAAATATTTTTTTTTTATTAATAATAATGATAATAATAAAACGATCCGCGTAGTTTATTATTATTCACTTGAGAATGACGAATTTTTTTTTTTTATTCGTTTTATTATTATTTCTCCATGGTAATAAGGTACGCCATTGAAATCTGAGGTATCTAACGGTACCTCTACGGTACCTCGACGGTACTCGTACGATACCTCGACTATACCTTGATACCTACGCGCTCATTTCAAAACTTTCAAATCAAAAAATAAAATAAAAAAAGAGAAAATATATATATTTTTTTTTTTTTCATGAGAAAAAGTATATATTCGTGTTAGTCGAGTTTTTAATTCGTTTGTTTTTATATTATTTATCGATTTGATTGGTTCGATATATTTTTTTTTTTTTTTGTAAATCGATATATATTTAAATATCGAAACGTTCGATTTTTTTTTAAAAAATATTCGACCTTTTCGATAAAATTAATAATATTTTAAATGCGTTCGGAATGTTGATTTGGTTAATTGTATGGATTACTGGCCCAAAAATCAAGGTAGGAAATTTATTTATTTATTTTATTTATTAAAATTTTTATATTCGCGTCAATTTTATTTATTTATTTATTTTTAATAATTTAATAATGTTTATTTATTTATATTTAATAATAAATAAAAAATTTTTTTCTTAATGTTTCCTGTTAACATAAACAAAATTAATAAATAAATTCTTCCTTTTTTTTCTCTCTATTTAAAATTTTATTTATTATTAATAAATTATTTACATAAATCGATAATAAGAATGATAATAATAATAGTAATATTTCACGTTATTTTTTTTTTTAAATAAAAATTTTTTATGCGTTTATTTATTTATTTATTTATTTATAACCTCGAAGATAATATTTTTACGTTTTGATTACGAACGAATTACGCACACACAAAAAAAAATTTAAACCGGAAATGAATAAATAAAAATAAGTT